ACTGCTCTCCTCCACTCAGCACAGACATGCTCCTACACTGATGTACCTCTCAGAACCTGCAGCACCAGCACTTACTGAAATACTCTAGCCTGCAGCCCAAGAAACAGCACCCGAGCCTGCAGCATGGGGATGTGGAAGAGCATCTCGACATCAGAGTGCGCTGAAGGGGCATGTTGGATTGCATCCCGTGCTTTCCCTGGTCTCACTCTCCATACTCCTCCTGGACGGACATAGGCCTGCTCTGGTGGCACATAAAAGGACATTAAACAAGCCCAAAAGCACTTCAAGTCAGAAGAGCAAGTTATTTTGAACTGTCTGAAAACTTTCCAATTTGATGATACAATGTTATGAAAAATAAATAAGCCCCACAAATGTTCATCATCTGTGATAAGGCAAAGACTTCTGAACAAGCTGATTTCAAAATATTAGTATTTTACTCACAATCCAACAGCAGTTAGATTTTTTTTTGGTACCGGGGATCGACTGAACTCGGGTCCTTGCACTTGCGCGGCAGGTGGCAAAACCACTGAGCTAAATCCCCGGCCCAGTGTTAGATTTTTTGTCATCGTATCATGGATACATTAGGACAAGACAAAAATTAGTATCTCCATCATACAGTTATAAAATTTCTGAGCTCTTCTTGATATCATAAATCCAATAATAATGTCCTAGACATTATCCTATTATCCTAATTCCTGGAATAAAATGATAACAACTTCAAAGTTTGTGTTTATAAAGAATGATTTTAAAATCTTAAATTTTTATCATTGTTGTTCCTAGTACCTGGGATTGAACTCAGGATCTTGCACTTACAAGGCAGGTGTGGCGCCAATGAGCTACATATCCTTGGCCTTAAAATGTTAAATGTTGATTTAAAAAGGAATTTAACAACAAATGCATACTATTTATAAAAATGCATTGTTAATTCTTTTTTTAATTGTTAATTCTTAAATTAAGAATAAAACACAAAATCAACTAAGGGTTAAAAAGTTCACTATGGACAGATGGTACAATTTGTATTTTATTTTATTTATTTTTTTAATTCAATACTTTTTTTTCCTTTAATTCACACTGTACTTCCATGGCTCTAGCTACTTTCCATTCAGATTTGGCTGGGTAGCCTTGTATGTTTCTAGGTACTAGCAGCAAGATTTTAGACCTTGCACACAGCACCAGGCAAAGTGCAGTTACAGATCCAAATCAAGACGGCCACACGACTCAACTGCAATCCACTGTGTTCATCTATGCCCAGCGCAAGCGGTGGGGCTGTTCCCTCCGCCTCACCCCACTCCTCCCCACGTCAGGACTACGTAGGGGCCGATACAGCCTCTGATCCACCCCTGGCCACCTTGGAGCCTAAGGTTGAGGGGTGGGGAAGTACCATGGGTTTGGGAGGATGGTCCGGTCCATGCAGAGAGTGGTCTGGCCCTAGAGTGTAGGGTAAGGAAATGTGGGGAGCCACATTCTTTCGTTGGCAAACATGGTTACTTTTACTGTGGAGTCTCTGCAGCACATGGCAACCAAGCCCAGGGCTAACTCCCCAGACAGAGCCAGCTGTCCTGCCTGGGGCATGTGCTGACAATTTGTATTTTAACTAGAGAAAAATATCACTTGTACTTTTATATATGTTTATCTAAGTTTTTTATCGTTTTTTGGTACCAGGGATCAAACTCAGGACCTTGCACTCAAGAGGGGGGCGACGGCACCATTGAGCTAAATCCCCGGCCCATATCTAAGTAAGTTTTTAACAACCTTAATATTATCCTCTATTTTTCTGGCAGTGGCCTACATAAAAGTTAGCTTAAATAACCCAAGAATCTCAGAGATGGCTCAAGGAAATATTACTTATTTCCATTGTTCACATTTCGTACTGGTATTAGATCTCAATACTACACTGGCACAAAGGAGTAAGCACTATAATATTTATGTAACTATGTACACATGAAGCATAGGTTTAGCCGGGTGTGGTGGGGTACACCTGGGATCTGGGAAGCTGAGGCAGGAGGACTGCTGTGAGTTCCAGGCCAGCCTGTCTATGTAGAAAGGGCCCATTTCAGAGGAAAAAGAAAAAAAATAAAAGCAGCATAGGTGAACAGTCATCTATCCAGTCTAGTACATTTCATTCACCTACACAAACAGATGACTGTAATGTATTTGAAAGGCTGTGGCTTACCATTTCATTTTGCTGTTTGTTTTTAGAGAGAGTCTTGCTGTGTGGTTTAAGCTGGCCCTAAAGTCACAATGTAGCCAGGCTGGCCTTGACCCTGTAATCCTGCCTCCCCCTCCAGAGTACTGGAGTACAGCCCTTGTTCCCATTTTTAATGATAACCATCTTTTCTGCCTACCACAGGATTGGCCTATCTCTACCTGAAGGAAGAGAAGGTCAAATTCATCCATCCACCCCCAGGTACAGTCAGTAAGTGTAAGCAGAAGAGTCCGTGAGACATGCATCTTTCACGCAAGGGGCACGTTCTCTGACACAGACTGCGTCGTAGGAACCTGAGCACCTAACACACTGCCCAGAGTCCAGGTGAAAGGTGAGAAAAGCAGAGCACAAGAGGAGCAGCTACGGCAAGGCCAAAGGAGGAACTGCGGAAGCGAAGCAGGATTTGGACCTGCTCGGGTTGGAGAGGAAGCTAGGTGTGCAGTCGAATTCTGTTCGGAACTGAACTGCACCCAGAAAAAGAGGCTTTGCGACAGATCTAAAGGGAGATTTGGAGCCAGCTCACAAGAGGAATTAACAGTCTAAGTTCTGAAAAGGTCTATCAACATTTTTTGAAGGAAAAAAATCCAAAGTAAAAATTGTATAAGTTAATGCAAATGATAGTAAAACAAAGAAACAAAAAACACACATGCTCTTTTGGCTTGTTTTCCTTCAGCAGTCTGAGTAACTGTGGGCTGAATATACTGTAATTGCTTCTAGAAGAGACACAACTTGGAGGGCCCCAGGAACAATACATGACAGAAAGAAATTAGATAGAAAATAGATAGAAATTACATTTTTTTAATGGAGGGAAATTCCTACATCACCCATATTCATTTTTTTTTTGGTACCAGGGATCGAACTTGGGACCTTGAGCTTGCCCTTGCGAGGCAGGCGGCGGCACCACTGAGCTAAATCCCCGGCCCCTCATTTTGTTTTAAAAAAATCAATTCAAACCATTTAGCTCAGTGGTGCCGCCGCCTGCCTCGCAAGTGTAAGGTCCCGAGTTTGATCCCTGGTACCCCCGCCCCCAAATCAATTCCAAGAAGAAAATAAATTCTAACTTGATTTAATTCTGTAGGTAAACATATGTTCAATCCCAATGAATCAAATGCCAATCATGCAACAGATGCAAAGATCAAGTCTCTGTTTTTAGGCTGAACCACAAAAGCCTGGCAATAGTGATGCTGGACACAGAAAGGGAAAAAGAAAACAATCTCCATATGCTTCGGCCTAACAACTAACTGACTGAAGACTTAGTCCCTGCTGAGTCAACTTCTGCCTTCAATCATACATGGCTGAGGAAAGGTAAACTGAGATTTATTAAGTGTGACAAAGCTATCTACTTGCTAAGTCATGTTGTAATTTACAGGCAGAAAAAAAGCTGGAAAGAGTAAAATTTTAAAAAGGAACTGAAGCTCAAAAAAGTAAACAAGATATCACAGAGCAGTCCTCTTCAAACAGGGCTCCAGGGTGATCCCGGTGCTGGTTCCAACTGGACAGGAGCAAAAGTTCTGGACAGTAGCGCCCAGAGAGGTCACCACAGGTGACAGTCAGGTCTGCAAACCTCATACGCTGTCAGAAAGGACCCTGAAGCTTTTTACCATAAAAACAGTAAATGTCTGAGGTGATCTAAACATCACACAAATGTATGTATGTATCAAAACAGCACACGGACCCCCTTAGTATGTACAATTTTTAGGTGTCAGTTAAATAAAGAAAAAGAAGGATTTGGGGACTATGGAAAACTGATGTAACTTTTTCCCCACATACATGAATAAACATGCTACTAAGTGTTAGCCTATCTAGAAAATTACCGTTCAGTGAGTGCTGCGAGAACTCTACCCCTTCCTCACTGTATCTGGGCAAGAACAGAGACAAGGGCGTCACACTATGTCTCTGCTGAGGTCACTGTGCTCGGCCGACGGCCTCACAGCCATGAAACGATGAGCTGAGGCTGAGACCAGCTCCGACCTCAGTGCCTGTGCGCCCCCGCCCAGCCTGCTGTCTGTCGCACAATGAACGCTATTCTGCGAGAGTGTTTTAAAGATGTCAGTGCCTGCCATTTTAAATTAGAGCCCTAAGAGAAAACATGCTTCTCGGTATGGCTTGCGCTGTGACTGAGCAAAGAAGCTTGAGCATAAAAATGATACACGGTTTGTACATTGAGCAGCAGCTCCAACATGTTCTCCACCTCAAGTGAAAACATCCCACAGAGCACACACAGCAGTGCATGCCTGCCATCCCAGCTACTTGGGGGCTGAGGCAGGAGGATGCAATTTTGAGGGTAACCTAGACAACTTAGTAAGACCTTGTCTTAAGTGAAAGGAAAAAAAAGCAGGCTGGGAATGAAGTTCAGTGGTAGAGCACTTGCCTACCATGCACGAGGTCCTGAATTCAATCCCAAACATAGCACCCCTAATTTTTCAAAGATTGAAACTGAATTTAGAAGCATTCCGCCTGACACCATGACCCACACATATAATCCCAGCACTCATCAGGCTCAGGCATAAGGGTCAAAATTTCAAGTCCCACTTGAGCAATTCAGCGAGACCTTGTCTCAAAATGAAAAATAAAAAGGGCAGGCAGGGGATATAGCTCCAGGGTACAGTACCTCTGGATTCAGTCCCCAGTACTAGCAGGGGGAGGGACACAAGCATTTGAGTTTCTACTGTATCTCAAGCACTGTGAAGAAAGATATGTTTAAAGCTTCAGTCCCATACTTATCTGGTTAGAAAGGAAAAATTGGTGAAGTTTCACCTTTAATAAACGGAACTGGAAATAATAAAATACCCACCATTTTCATATGTACAGCAGACTCTTGATTAGTCATTTCTTGGTTATCCAATCTTCTGGATTTTCCCAGGTGGTATCACAGCAAAAGAGAGAAAAAAGGCACATGTGACATACATAAAATTCAGGCTCTATTTATGTATGTTAATGACTTACTAAGACAATACTTTTGGTATGATTTAAATACTAAGGTATTGGAGCTATCTTTTCTTTCCTAAGAAGCTCAGCAAAGGATTTACCCTATGTAGCAAAGTTCTGGACTGAAAGTATCACATGAAGAGCTTGAAGCCCTTCTATAAGAATTTATAAGGTACAGGGCCGGGGATTTAGCTCAGTGGTTTCGCCACCTGCTGCACAAGCACAAGGACCCGAGTTCGATCCCTGGTACCAAAAAAAAAAAGAATTTATAAGGTACAAGAAGATCTAAATAAAGAGTTAAAGTAAACAAAGCACAATTATTAAATGCTTATAGCTTTTCTTTGATACTTAGTATCTATAAAAGGGTCTAGATTTCTCAAAAGGCACTAGATAAGAGGATTTTATTAGCCTGAAAAAGAATGTGAAAAATTCTACAAAACTACCACACAATTTGGGAAACACTTTAAAAGCCTAAAGGTAACAGAATTCAAGCAGGGAAGAATTAAACATGTTTTAAAACCTGGAAATACAACATATTTTTCTTATACACAGCCAGACAGCACAATTCCTTCCTGGCCTCTACCCCCACCTGTGGCTCTTTCTGGAGCATTCATTTTTAGTTTAAGGAAAAATGATTTATTTGAAATAATTACTTAAACAAAAGATGTGGTGTCTCACATCTGCAACGCCAGCACTTGGGCTGCTGAGGCAGAATTGTAAGTTTAAGATCAGCCTGGACAATTTAGCAAGATCTTGTCTGAAAGCAAAAAACAAACACCAGACAGACAAATTTGAAAAAAAACAACAACAACAAAAAACTGATCAGAAACTTGATAATGGCCTGGACATGGTGGTACACACCTATAATCCTAGCTACTCAGGAAGCTGAAGCAGGAGGATTGCAAGTGTCAGGCCAGCCCGGGCAACTTAGCAAGACCCTGTCTCGAAATAAAAACAGCTGAGGGTGTAGCTCAGTGCTGCAGTGCTTGCCTGGCATTTGACAGGCTCTGGGTTCAATCTCCAGTACTGACTAAAAAAATTGATAAAAAGGCTTGCTTTTAACAATTGATGGATACTATGCAAATGTCAGCTGAAGAGCTTTCATTCTTCCCAATACTCACTGGCAACCTCACCAGAATTTATTCTCGTTCAAACATAATCGCACATGAAATGATGACTGCAATCCTACAGAAATCACTTCGGATTGGTACCAATACAAAAGTGTAATGTCTGCGTCCTGGCACCATCCAAAGAAAGACACTGAAAAAGAGGGCAGGGTATTTTTAACCAGCAGGCCTGTAAACCTATACCTGGTATATACAAAGCTCTGGCTGTGCCAGTCATCTGTTGCAGATGCTCCAAGAGAAGAGTTGTTGGAAAAAATGCACCAGGTGTGGAAGACATGTTCAAAAATAGAAAAGGAATACTATTAAATTATGAACTCTCTTCAAGAAAGTCTGGACTCTAAATGGAAAATGGAAAAGTGTGAAAACTAGAAATACTTGTTTTGTGTGCTTTCAGTAGTGGTTAAGGTCCCTACAGTAGCAGAGTTCATTACAAGGAGTGTGTAGAAGAAGGATACACACGGAGCACAAGGTAAGCACACCTCACTGAAACAGCATAAACTTAAGTGAAATTTACAGTTGTGGTATGTCATTCTGAGATAAGAGTTTATAAACTGATTAGTGAATACTGGTATGTTTACATAAAAATGTACTCACTTTATAACAAGTCTTAAAATATCTAAATGCAGACTGAATATATATTTTTTTGGTACCAGGGATTAAACTCAGGTCCTTGTGCTTGCGCAGCAGGCAGCGAAACCACTGAGCTAAATCCCCGGCTCCCAGACTGAATATTTTTAAAGTGCTATTTGACTGTCTTATGGGAAAGGGAAGATGAAATCTGTTACTAGAGCTTTAAAAGTTGTGACTGTTTTGATTTTGATACCTGTAAAAACATGGCAACAGGGCCAGGGATTTAGCTCAGTGGTTCTGTCGCCTGCTTCACAAGCGCAAGGACCTGAGTTCGATCCCTAGTACCAAAAAAAAAAAACCACATGGAAACACTGAGAGGTAGTGAAATTTTGAGTGGTAAACTATTACTTATATAAGAAAAGGCTTATCTAATAATAATATGGAAAGGGTATCAGCAATGGTACTAAACACACAATAAATCCCTTTTATGGCACTTTTCCAGCTACCAATACTATTTGTCTTAGGCTTGGGTTTTAAAATGTCACTTTCAAGTGTCACTGGCACAAGGAAAACCAAACTATAAATTCATTTTTCTCTGTAGGGTTATAATAATTTTCCTGGGAATATTTAAATAATTTTCCCTAAACATATTTTTAATTCAGCCATGAAAAAATACAAAAACTGGAAAGTGAAACTACCTTGATACTGACATAAAAAAATGAAACTGAACAGTGGTGGGGGGAGGATATAGAAGGAGAGGAAAAAGTAAATTTCAAAGGCCAGTTATTAAAAAGAAAAGGCTGGTTATTTAGCAACTGGCAATTTATACCACTTTTCTCCAATGATAAAACAATTCAGTCCGACTTTTAAGGACACTTCAGAGCTTGGAGTACATCCCCTACCCTACCCTACCCTCCTGAGCTCACCAACTCCATCAGCCTGGCAGCTCTACAGAGATGAGTACACTAAGGTATGCAGACATTAACGAACGTGCACTGGTGACGCTCGAGGCTCACAGTTCCTCTGTCCTTGACTTTGTCCTCCAACAACAGCAAGGTGGCCAGCAACATCCAGCACTGTAGGACTTGGACACAAGCTCTCAATAAAACCAAATAAGGGCCAGGGGTGTAGCTCAGCAGTGCCGCACCTGCCTGGCAACCACAAGGTCCTGAGTTCAATCCCGAGCACCGGAAAAAAAAATTCCATCAATAAATCCAAATAACTGCTTGAAAAGAAACAGTCTGCTGCACAATCTAATTTGTGTGATTTAAAGAAAAAATACAGGGCTGGGGATTTAGCTCAGTGGTTTCACTGCCTGCTGCGCGAGTGCAAGGACCAGAGTTCGACGCTGGTACCAAAATAATTAAACAAACAAACAACAACAACAAGAAAAAAATACATTTAAATCTAATACAGTAATAATGATCTAGGCTTTCACTGTGAAAACATTTGATTCTTCAGGGTATTGCTCACATATGGGGGGAGGGGGAGTGCTGGGTCTTGAATCCAGGGCCTTGGCATATTGGGCAAGTACTCTGCCAGGGAACTTTATCCCAAACCCTGCATGTTTGAATCTTACTTTTCAATATACCAGTTGTTATCTCAACAATTCAACTTTTATCAATTCATAAAATATAATAGTATAATCCCAATCTGTAATATCCAGGGTAAGACTCATAGGTACAAAATAACAATTTTTATTGCCAGCCCTCATAGATTATTTCTTTTCCTAGTGACACAAAGTGTGGGGCTTTCAGTAAAACTGAATCACACAGCAACTGAACAAAATCAGAACTTAAGAGTGTTTTCCCCAGCTTGGAAAGAAACTTCTGGGGTTATTTTGCTTTTGGCTAACATCTACATATTAAACAAGAAACCCTTAAAATTACAATATGTAAAATGTAATTGTTAAGCCTAAGACCCTTGAATCTTTTACACACTCGTATCTTTGCAAACTACAAAGAAGTTATGCACTACACTGAATCACTCTACTTTTATTTTCTAATTTGTATTTTACAATGCCCCAACCTTTAGCAAGATAAGAATCCAGCAAGAATCATAAATACAGGAAAAGCACACTTACCCTGCTGCGAGCTGGACAGGCTATGCCAGCAAAAGAAAATTCTTCCTGTTTGAGAAGTACTAATATAGCCCAAGGTGCAGGGGCGGGTCCAGAAGCCCTGGCTAAGCCCTATGCAAACAGCCCTTCGAGGCACCACCGCACATGCGTCACTGTGCTCCAGGGACAGCCCTACTGGCTGTGAGCCAGTCACCAGCCTACAGCACATCGAGTGAGAAGACACCACCGGCTCTCACGAGAAGGTGAGCCCTGCATCAGAACACAGGCAATTAAGTGGGCAGAGGGAGGCGGAGCCCTACACTAATACCAGACACTGCTGCCTATGGTGCTGGAGTTTAGCAGGTGTTTCCGACAGGCACACTTTTCTGTATGAAGGCGGAATTTCAATGCAGAGAGCAACAGACCAGTTTGGGTGCTGTTGCTGGAGATGGGTGACCCACTGGGGGATGGAGAGGGCAACACTATGCAGAGCTGTGGCTCACTAGGGCACAGCTTCACTTTTGGAAGACAGAGAAGTTCGGAAGGTGGAGGGTGGTGGGGACCGCAGGACCACAGTGTCAATGTACTCGATGCCCCATACTGTATACTCCGAGTTAAAAGGTACCTTTGAAATTATGTGTAGTCTACCTAGAACTAAAAATAAAGATTAGCTCATTTAAGCCCCATGAACAAGACCTGATGCATGGAAATATGGTCAACAGAATGTTAATAATGTGTATTTAATGGTGCAGTGGGATTTAAGAGATTTTTAGGTCTTCTTTATACTTCCCTATGTTTTGTGAACTTCAGTAAGACCATACCATAAAATATGAAAACCAGCAGGGCCCGCTGGGCAGACCTTTAATCCCCACTACTCATGTGGCTGAGGCAGACAGACTGCGAATTCCAGACCTGCCTGGGCAACTTAGCAGGACCTGGAGTCTGAATAAATAATAAAAATGGCTGGAACATGGCTCAGGAGTAGAGCACTCCTGAGACCAATCATTCCCAGTACTGTCACCACCAAATGCAAAAAGCAAAAAACCCCACCAAAACTAAGCTAATCTTTATTTAGTTTGTTTTGGGGGAGTTTTTTGGTACTGGGGATCGAACTTAGGACCTTGTGCTTGCGAGGCAGGAGGGAGAACCACTGAGCTAAATCCTCGGCCTGCTAATCTTTAATTTTAAAAACAGGAAAAACTGGGTGCAGTGGCAGGTACCTGTATCCTCAGCTGCTCAGGAGGCTGAGCCCATTTTGGGGTTATCCTGGGCAAGAGAACAAGACCCCCATTTCATCAAACAAACAAACAAAAATAATTAGAAAGAAGTTCCTTTTTTGAAATGTCTTTTTTTAAAAAAAAGGGAACCAGCCTGGCTTGCAAGCAGAGTAGGAAGATAGCAATCACAGAAGGCCAAGACCTGAGAGATAAGTCAGTCCATGGGCTCCAGGAAGCTTTATCACTCACTGCGAATAGGGCTAAGCCATGCTTATGTAAATAAACCTTTACATCAGCTCTACTAAGAAACTGAACCCAGCCAGTGTTTTAGTAATCAAACTGGGAAGCAGCATTCTCCATTAAGAACAACACAATTTTAAGCTGTTTTTAGGGAGTAGGAGATAGAGTCTTTCTATGTTGCCCCAGGTAGCCTCTAACTCCGGGGTTCCAGTGATCCTCCCGCCTCAGCCTCCCAAGAAGCTGGGACTGCACGGATGTGCCACCATGCCTGGCTTTTAAAAATGATCTAGAGTTTCCTGAATTTGGCAATTACTGAATGTGGAAACTTTTTGCACTATCTTAGTAAGATGAAAGATTTGTAATAAAATATTCCCCTAAGAGGAAAACCTCTTATCTAATTAGCAACAGGGGCTCACAGCAGCAAAAGTGCTCCATTTTGGAAATATTTCTGTATTACTTATGAAAGTACTGGCCTGTCCTAAATCCCGTCAACAACAAAGGATGTTGGATTTATACTAGACAGCCTTCTTGAAGTGCTCTTTGGAAACCCTTTGACATACCAATTTTGTGTCTAGCAATTTATTCTATGGAAATAAGGCAGCACATACAGATTTAATTGCAAGGATTTATACTGTTTTATAGTACTGGATACTGCAAACAACCTAAATGTTCATACTTAAATACTCATTAATTCAGGAGAGCGGGGGCTGGGCATGGAGTCCAGTGGTAGAGTTCGTCTAGCACGCACAAGGCCCCAGGTTTAATTCCTAACTCTGTAAAATACACTGCAGAACAAGAGGTAAACCGTGATAGTACACATAAAATATAAAATGATTATTTTAAATGATTTAAAATGATTTTTAAAATGATTACTATAAAAATTACTTACTATTTTTACTATTATTACTTTAAAATGATTATTACTATAAACAATTTCAATTTATGCAATTCTAAGCCTTTGACATTCCTTGTCTCATGTATTTTATCATCCCTGGAAGGCTGTGCCATTACTATCTGCATTTTACAGGTGAGTAAATGAAGGTTTCTAGCTGCTAAGTGGCAGAAATTGACCCCACTGTGCCTGTGAATTGCCAGCCAGCACTCACTGGTGAGACTGGAGCTGACAATCACTGACAGGTCTGTCGTCCCGTGCCCACCGAGCTGCCAGGCACCTACACCGAGAATCCACCTGAGGAGGAGAAACCTTCATGGAGAACACGAAGGCGGGCTCCATACAATAGTGTCTGTGACAGGACTGAAGAGACAGTTTTATAAAATAAACGATTTCCTTGGGAAAGAAGACAGTGTGTTAAAAACGTTAAGAGCAGTAGCACTAATCTGTCCATAATCAGAAAAGTTAAAAAGCCAGTCGATCCCACATGAATGGAGGTGTCGGAAACAGTGTTTCCGATATCAAGACAGCAACGATCCTGCCAGCTCGCTCTACAGTCCAGCGGCACATCTGACAGCAGAGGACGGTGGCAGGGAAGGAGGCCGGCAGGGGCACCCCACGTGTCCCGAGGCAGGCTGCTGTGTCCTGACGGCACCCACCAGTGTCTAGGGTGGTGGCTGCAGCCCTG